GTATAATATTTAATATAAATCAAAATTTTATATCATTGACATTGGATTTTTTCCCATATAAAAAAGTTTTGCATAAATTGTACTATAATTAAGCATTTTTGTGTTTCCAAAGTATTAAAATATTGTATTGTCACCGGGAATAAGTGTGCATTGAAAATTCGAGCTCGATTGGAGCAGTAGAAGTGGTCGAAAAATCGATTACAAAAGTACGAAATTTTGCGGACAATCAAACAGATAAGAAAGCAAGTTAAGAAAAACGTAGTAAAAAAACGTAGTAAAAAGGGTCAGTTCGTTGCTATCCATTTACAGTAAACTTTATCTCCTTTTGTATGAAGTAGTCCATTGAAATTGAGCTAGATAAATTGCGGAACATGAAAGCTAATGACCTAATTATTGACATTATGTTGTGATGAGTTTCAAAATCCACAGACATCACATCGTACCTTTGACACATCACATATTGATTACATTTTTGCTCCATTTCCATCCCACATTAAAACACTGATACTGCTGTAAGCTATGCAATATTTTGGATTTTTGGGGGGTGTTTGAAAACATTGTGGATTATAAGAGTTCGGATGTGAATTAAGGGCAGCAAATGACACGAAAAATTGAACCCGAAAGGTATAGAATGAGATATTTGTGGTTCTGTTGTTTAAATCTTTTGTATGATTTTTGGTAGATTATGGTTAAGGTGTCTTCACACAATGGAATAATAAATCAAGGTGCCTTCACATCAATCGTAACAATGTCATGATACATTCACACTAGGATTGGTTCAGGTGGATTCACACTATGATCATGTGTTCAGGTGCACTCACAGTAGAATCATTTGTTCACGTGCCTTCTCACTAGGGTCGTGTGTTCAGATGCCTTCACACTAAGATCATGTTCAGTTACCCTCACACTAGGATCATGTGTTCAGGTGCCTTTACACTAGAATCAAAAGTTCAGGTGGATTCACACTATGATCATTTGTCCAGGTGCCTTCACAGTAGAATCATTTGTTCACGTGCCTTCGCACTAGGGTCGTGTGTTCAGATGCCTTCACACTAAGATCATGTTCAGTTACCCTCACACTAGGATCATGTGTTCAGGTGCCTTCACAGTAGAATCATTTGTTCAGGTGCCTTTACACTTGAATCATGTGTTCAGGTGTCTTCACACTAAGATCGTGTGTTCACGTGCCTTCACATTAGGATCATGTTCAGTTGCCCTCACACTAGAATCATGTTTTTAGGTGTCTTCACACTAGAATCATGTGTTCAGGTGCCTTCAAACTGGATTAAAAAATTCAGGCGTCTCTACACTTCGTTTCGAACAGAATCATATTCACATCTTAACATTGTAGACACAAACAAAAAGAAGTCACTGAAAGCCCCAAAGTGTGACTTACAAATTATCCCACTCATGTTGACAGACATCTGAGTAAATAAGAATAGCAAATCGAATGAAATTTACGTCAGAAACAGAACCAGAATTGCTTATGAAGGTAAAATTGTTATATCTTGTTCATGACGTTTGTGGTTTTGGTAAGTTTTGATAGAAATTTAACAGAGCTGATTTGGAGGGTTTAAAAATTCAGCTCCAAAAGATTGAGAAAAATAAATAATATTTGGATCCATTAACACAAGATTTTCATTTAAGAATGTTCCGGAAATTTAATCAACACTTAATTTTCAACATCAAAATAAATTCATTCAAGATTCCATTAACCATTTTATTTCTGTTCACAGCAAAAAGTTTTTCATTAAATTAAATCATTAAGTTGATGACACTTTTGTCGTTTCGAGATAATTAAAATGAAAACAGAATTATGTATAGTTTTACATTGAGGGATATAAATGTTGTATTTAAAAAGTTTAGAAATTTTATGATAAATCCAGCGCATTATTACTAGATTCGAATGTTCAGGTGCCTTCACACTAGTCATTTAGTTAAGATGTTAGGTTGCCTTCACACTTAAGTCACCTATTTAAGGTGCACTAGAGTTATTAAGTTCAGGTGCCTTCGCATATCAGACATATAGTACAGGTGTCTTCACACCTGAGTTATTTGATTTAGGTGCCTTCACATTAGTCATTTGATTCTCGTGCCTTCACACTAGTCATTGAGTTCTGGTGCCTTAACAATTCAGACATTTGGTTCAGGTACCTTCAAATTATTGACATTTGGTTCAGGTACCTTTACATTTTAGACATTTGGTCCATGTGCATTCGTTTTGATCAGGTGCCTCCACATTAGGTTTCCTAGGCTCAAGTGTCTTAACATCAGGTCTATTTAGTTAAGTTGCCTCTACACTAGAGTCGCATGTTCAAATTAAAATGCGTAAATTATAAAATATAGTCACAACTTCCAAAACAAAAACATTGAACTTTGAACATTTTAACCCATTCACACACATTTTCTTTGTTTACTTCACATATGGCTGAAATTTGAAATTCTCTCAAGCACAATCTACGTCTTCAACTCACACTCGACATACTCGAGTCATTCAACTTACAATGAGCTAATTTATATTCATAGATCTGCTGATTAAGCATGAAGATATTCAATTTATGTCGAATAAAATAAAATATTTCATTTGATCTTGAAATCTCTTGAAATATTTCATTTTTATCGTGTGACATTCGAGAATAGTTCCCCCAATTTTTTTGTGCTTAGTCGTTCGCTGTTCATCATTGTTGTTATTATTCGTCTATTGAGAATATTGAATAGAACTCAGCAAGGCAGATAAAGTATTTTTGGCATATCCAAATATATTAAAAATATTCCATTCAATTACCACACAACAGGTTTTTTGAATATGTTTTTATTGCATCTTATTTTTGGGGATTTGTGGTAAAAATAGGTTAAGATGTGAGTTTAAAATTGAATTGAGGGTTTATTTGGGAAAAGATAAGATGTAATTGAGGAAGGTGAATTGACAATTTCGTGGAAATCGGAGGATAAAAAAAAGGAAGTGCTAAGAAGTTTGTGCGCTATATTGTGGGAATACATTAATGTGTCTCACTGAACTGAAAATGCATTTCAAAATTCAAAAAAGCCTCTCATGCGCTATATTTTGGGAAACATCAAAGTGTAACCCTGAGTATGTCAATAAAATATGCGAAAAATTCTTCGTGCGCCATATATTAGGAAAACGTTAATGTGTCACCCTCAAAATGCAATCGAATGTTCAAGAAAGTCTCTTGTACGCCACGTTTTGAGAAACTTGAATGTGTCATCGAAAATTTCATAAAATCAATTGTTCGTCATATAGTGGGACTACATTAATGTGTCCCCTTGAATATGCAATTAAAAATTATTCGTGCGTCATATTTTCGGAAAACATTAAAGTGTCGCCCAAAATATGCCAGTCGTAATTCGAAATTTTAAAGATTTTCTGCTTTTCCAACGTTCACATCTCATCAATGTCAGTCTTCTTATTAATTTTCATCCGAGCCTACCTTATCAGCACATTAGCATCAAAAACATGAAAGAAAGCTCAAGAAGTAAAATTTCTCATCACATTAGTAACAATCTGCTCATCATATTCACCTCAATCAACATAAAATCACGAAAATGAAGGAATAAAAATTCTTCCACACATGTTTAAAAAATTTGATGAAGAAAAACATTATTTTGGACTCAAAAGAAGAACAGCGAAAGTGAAAAGTTAAATATTTGTACAAAAAAAATCAGTTAAACGTGTTGTTGAGATGACAAGAGTAAGAACAAGAAGAAGTCAACAGGAAGTGAAGTTTTTCTTCTTATTTTGTATACATTGTTCCATTTTATGTGAGTAATTTCGAAGGAAAATTGGAATGATTTTGGATTTGTTCTTGGCACGTTTTCCTGGTAAATGTGTGAAAAATTTACAAATTAGAATTGTCGAATAAAATTTTTTATTGGATTTTAGGCACGATTTAAACACGTTTTGGCTGAAGAAGGAAGGAATTTTGATTGGGTGGAATTTTAAGTGTCTTTTTTGGTGATGTTAATGAAGCCATTATAAGCTTTTGGTTTAATTGAGGATTTAATGGATATTTTTTAAATTTCTAGTCGGCATATTCGGGGAGATACATTAATGTTTTTCCAAAATATGACGCACGAATAATTTTTGTTTATAAAAAATACCCAAAAGCTATTCATTGAACTCAAAAGATAGCAAATATTATGATGCAAACTGCTCTAAATCTCAGAAAATATTTGAATAGACCACAAGCAGCTAGCCTTCAATTCCATAGAAATCAAATATTTGCCAAACTCTGACTAAATCTGGAAATATTCTTCAACATAAAATCTCAACAAATTCTCAGAATAAAGGCGAGACATAAAGATTCAACAAATAAAGAAAATTCTCAAGAAGCTAATTGTGTTTGTTTCTCTTATCACTCGTGTACAAATATTATCGAGATTTTTTCTTCTCAGAAACTTTTTTGTTTGGATTCGATTTTATTTGGGTTAAAAAAAGTTTTTCCTAAAAGACAATCTTGATAATCCGTAATTTAAAGAGAATAGGGAAAAGTTTTGTTCTTAAGAAATTTAATTGTTTTACTGTGGGTTGTGGGCTATAGCTAAAGGATGGTTAGGATATCCAGAGCATGGATTTGACTCAACTCGATTCAATTTGTTTTGAGTCAACTTAACCCGAATGGTTCAAGTCGGTTAATTAAATATTAAATCTGCGCCAAGCAATCATGACTCTGGCTTCGATTTAAATCCAGCACCACGTCAGAGTCATACCGGCTTGGTGCCAGATTTTTGATCGATTAACCGACTTGTGTTATTCGGGTAAGGCTCTGACAGTGTTAAGAGAAAGACGGAGTCGCAACCACAACGATTTATCCTAGTTTTTGGCTTTAGTGACTATGCAACGTTACCACTTTTTCATATTGCCGCCTTGAATAACTTTAAAGTTTATTCCAAATAGTAAGAATTAAAATAATGACGAATAACCTCAAAAATCTTTGAAAATATTTACACAAAATAAAGATTTTCCAATAAAACAAACAAACCTTTTGATCTTTAAAAATCTTCAGAAGTTTTTTGTGCTTTTCACTGCTTTCATCTCGGTTTGATTTCCTTTTAAAGTATTTTTTTTTGCTGTTTTTCTTGTTGCCTTTAGGAGATGGTGGGATTTGTTTTCAAAGCTTTATCACAAAACTTCACATTTAATTTGTTTATTTTTTATTGAATTTTTTACTGTTAAATTTGAGGGAAATTTTGCATTTTATTTAAGTTTTGAATTTTTTTTGATATTTTGTCAAAGATTTTACTTTTTGAATTAAAGTTTTTTTTTGTACTTTTTGAGTTTGAATTTTAAAATTTTTTATTTGACTTTTTTAATTTTTGTTTCATCTTTTTTTTTTGTTTTCAAAACTTGAACTTGCTTGCAATTTTTTTGAAAATTTATTAAATTAATAATTTATCCTTAAAAAATTTATTTTTTAAAGAATTCGTTTTTCATGGTTTTTTCAAGTTTTTTTTTATAAATTTAAGTTTAAGATTTTTCAATAATTCGTGGTTTCCAATTTTTTAATAAAATTTTACATTTTCTAAATTTATAAAGCTTTAAAAAATTTATTTGAGTTTTTTAAATTCAATAATTTTTCAAATTATAATTTTAAACAATTTTTGAAGTATTTTTCACATTTTTCACTTCACTAAACTCAAATCTCACATCAGAACAAGAAAAAAAGTTCAAAAAGTCCCAAAAAAAACTACAATTTTACGTAAATAACCGGTTACGAAAAAATTATTCAATTTAATTCCGCATCGACTTCACTTCCTATCACCCGTGTTCATCGACAGAGCATCGACTGTAAACTGAAGAAGAAAAGAAGAAAAAAAATTCTTTCAATGATTTTTCTCACATTTTGAGCTTTTTTGACTCATTCAGCACATTCTCTCAGTCCTGCGTGAGCAATAAGCTCTCGAAAATTCTCTCAATTTACTCAAAATTCTGAACTTCTTGCTGGTCTTCATGAATAGAAACATTAAAGATATTGTAATTTCATAATAAAAATGCAATTTTTTCCTCTTTATTTTATTTTATTGAACTGACACTTGTCGCTCGATTGTTCATCGGCTCATATTGATTCACATGAAAATTAATTGTGAATTGTTATTGTGGCTGCTTTGTGCACTTATTATCGATAGTCAATAATGTTCAGCAAGTTGATATGTTGATGTTATTAAAAAAGGGTTGGAAATGTTTTTGTTGTAAGGTTTGGACGAGATTTAGATGCTCTTTTGATAAAGTTTGCTTTTTGGTTCAGATGAGTTCTTTGTTCTTGGTTTGTTGGTTCTTGGTTCTTGGTTTTTGGTTCTTGCTTTGCTGGCTCTTGTTTCTTGGTTTTTGATTTTTGGTTCTTGGTTCTTGGTTTTTGATTTTTGGTTCTTGGTTCTTGGTTCTTGGTTCTTGGTTCTTGGTTCTTGGTTCATGATTCTTGGTTCATGGTTCTTGGTTCTTAGTTCTTGGTTCTTGATTTTTGGTCCTTGGTTCTTGGCTCTATGTTTTTGGTTCTTGGTTCCTGGTTCTTAGTTCTTGGTTCTTGGTTCTTGGTTCTTGGTTCATGATTCTTGGTTCTTGGTTCTTGGTTCTTGGTTCTTGGTTCTTGGTTCTTGGTTCTTAGTTCTTGGTTCTTGGTTTGGTTCTTGGTTCTTGGTTTCTTGGTTCTTGGTTCTTGTTTCTTGGTTCTTGGTTCTTGGTTCTTGGTTTGGTTCTTGGTTCTTGGTTCTTGGTTCATGATTCTTGGTTCTTGGTTCTTGGTTCTTGGTTCTTGGTTCTTGGTTCTTGGTTCTTAGTTCTTGGTTCTTGGTTTGGTTCTTGGTTCTTGGTTTCTTGGTTCTTGGTTCTTGGTTCTTGTTTCTTGGTTCTTGGTTCTTGGTTCTTGTTTCTTGGTTCTTGATTCTTGGTTCTTGGTTCTTGGTTCTTGGTTCTTGGTTCTTGGTTCTTGGTTCTTGGTTCTTGGTTTTTGGTTCTTGGTTTTTGGTTCTTGGTTCTTGGTTCTTGGTTCTTGGTTCTTGGTTACTTGGTTTCTTGATTTCTTGGTTTCTTAATTTCTTGGTGCTTGATTCTTGGTTCTTGGTTTCTTGGTTCTTGGTTCTTGTTTCTTGGTTCTTGGTTCTTGGTTCTTGGTTCTTGGTTCTTGGTTCTTGGTTCTTGGTTTTTGCTTCGAAAGTTCTGTTTTGTTATTCAGTTCAGTTCAATTTTTCTGTTCCAAATTCACCGTCCAACCCCCCAAAAGTCATAAATCCTCCTATCATCTGTTATCTTTCGTTCATCGATAAACCATAAATTTGTTGTTTATAGCACTTATGAGCTTGCCGTTGTTCAATCCACAGCAATAAACAACAACAAATAAATGTATCAGTATCAAAATGAATGAGAAGTAAATAACAAGAAAAAGTGATAATTCAGAACTGCTGCAAAGTTTCTTTCCTTCTTCATTTGTATTCATGTTTGTGTTTATTTTCATTAATCAAGGAATTAAAAGAATGAGTAAGTTATTAATAGAAAAAGAACGTCAAGGAGAAAGTTTTGAATGCGATACTAATGAACATGAGCTTATGTCAAGTTCATTGACTATGAAGGAACGATTAAAGATATTAAAATTTGATTAAATTAATGTCACTTTTAGTTTTTGTTTATATTTATTGGATTGATTAAGATGATTGTTTCCAGATGTTTCCACGATTCGAAGTATGTTGAGAATACTAAATTTTCAGTATTTCAATTTAAAAAAAATAAACCGTTAAAATTCAAATTTTCAAAAACCGTTAAAATTCAAATTTTCAAATACCGTTAAAATGCAAAAAAATTAATTACTTAAAATCTCATTTGAAAAACTGCAGAACCAATTACAATTAAAAGTTCACTAAACTCCTCACAACTAGCAGACATCACATCAAAAAGCCATTAACTAGCATGACAAATAGATTGTGCTGTACATTTTAAATAGCCATTGATATGCAAAAAGTTTAAAACTAATTGAAATTCCGCACATGAAATAGGAGAGCTTAGGTAATGAAATAGTAATTTAATAAATTTGAGGTTAAAATTCTCATTATTCTAACTTTGCAACTCGATTGATGAAGTTCGTTGAGTAAACCTTTAATTAATTGGTCTGTAAATTCAATTATGTTTTGTAATAAATTTTAAAGTTTTATGAATGTTTATAAGAGGTTAAATTGTTATAGATTGACGCAATGAAACTTCCTACACACAGCAATGACTACTACAGTATGATAGCGATGTATAAAGGCATTTAGATGTTTTATCGTGTTCAAAACTGCAGTTTAATGTTGCTTACTTGTTTATAAAGCTCAACTTAGGTGGAAATTTTCTCAAAAACTCTAGGAAATTGCAAATTTTTGAACTTGTCTGCTAAGGAGGGTTAAAAAGCGTGTTTAATCTCAAATTATTGACTGGCTACGCCTTATTTCGAGTATATTTTCGGAACTGAAATTGTAGAACTAATCAAAAATGATCGATAATCAGGTGATCTAATCTGCACGATTGATTTAAGTACTTAAGGATCCTTGGTAAAGATTAAAGCTAATTAAATGACTTGATGGGCTTTGTTCTCGGTTGCCAATTGTGTAGCATCCGTAAACTTCATTACACCTTCATTTCTATCCTTAGTATCAGTATCTTCATTAACACTGGCCACACCCTCATGCAAAATGTCAAAAAACCAGCAATCTCCCATCGAAACAATAACCATAAATTTTAAAATTCCCACAAAGTTTGTTTTTTTTTCTTAATAATTCATCAACTTTGGGGCTTCCTTTTGAAGTCGTTTGAAAAAAAAAGTTACTAAGTAAGTGGCTAGAGGACATAAATTTTAAACAAACTGCAAACATTTTCTTATTTTACAAACCACAAGTTCATTTGGAAGTTATTTCCTTGTATGCTTGGAGGTTTATAAGAATACATGTTAAAGATATATGAGAAATTTATGGGAATTTTTCCTAGTTTAGTTTGGAATGGCTAGTCAGGTGTAAGCAAATAATTTTTTGTATCCACAAAGTTTGTACTTATAAGTTTTGAATTAAAAATTTTGTAGACGGAAAGAGAATGCGCTTCCTGGAAGGAAGCTGTTGACAGAGGTAGCATAGCATTTAGTGTTGGCGGTAGGCAGAGAGTAGCCAACGACAGAGTTTTTTTCAGACGCAAACTAATGGAGGATATGGATCACAATTGATCTGTAAAGCCAGCGATGTATGTATGTATGTATGTATGAATTAAAAAAAGTCCAAAAATTCAAAAGTTTCTTCGAAATTAAATTATTCATCAAAACTTCATCCTCGAGCAAACTAGAAGCAAAAAACATTTTGGTCCGAAGAAAAAACAACATTCAAATGCCTTCATATCACTATGGGCCAGAAATGGAAAATTTTTCCAAAAATTATTTCTACAGCTTATATGATAGTCCTTATTCTGCCCTACATTTACGTCCTTAAAACTTTGCCCAAGTCGACAGCATGTCCGAGATATGGCACTTCAAAGTTGGTCAGACGACCATTTTCACGTTACATTGAAAATGCTCTCACCAGTTACTAGATGGATGAATCTCCTTCAAATTTTTTTTGTTAATAGCTTTAAATAGTTCCTTTATTTTAAGGTATAAACAATTGCAAATAACTTTGGAAAATTTTGTGAAAAACTTGATTTTTCTCAAAAACCACGTGTTCGTCATACTTTCGTTTGTGTAGTTCTTCACAAGCACTACCAAAGTTACTAATTTCTTTTTTATATTAAAGATTACATCAAAAGCTATAACTTTTGCATACATGTCGTATAATTTTAACAAAGTTTTGATAGTGAAAAAAAATTTTTTTATAAAAAAAACACCAATTTTTTGACAAAAATCGCTGTAGTGCTTCAGGGATACCCATGGTAGTGGAATTTTATTTCACATTTAAAAAGCTCTCTAGATATGCTATCAATTATTGCAATAAAATGAACAAGTGTTCTCTTGGCAAAGAGCACTTTTTTGACTCTGAAAGTCGTATGTCGAGCAAGGTCAAAAAAGAAAAATAATCATAAATATTTCAGTTTTAAATAAAATTTAATTTTTTTAAGTTAAATTGATAGATCTTTTCAAAACGCGTCTTTTGAGTATAAATATGTCATAGTTTTGTCAAGTTTCATAGTAAATTTTTTGAAAAAATGGTTTTTTTAAAAAAAAAAAATGGAAAATAAATTATTTCGCTTTAGAATTTCATAAAATGCATTCTTTTTATCATTTTTTTCACTACTTTGTCTAGTTTTGCTCCTAGTTTTTTTCCTACACCTAAATCAATAAGAACTTAACATAATTG